ACGGATAGTTATTGCTAAATATTTAAGTCTATGTTTTTTTTAATGAATGTTTTTTGTTGTTTTTTCTATTTGTTTGTTTTTGTTTGTTTTTTGGCATACCTTTGCTTGGTCTTCTGGCAGTGGTCCATTCCTCCGACGGTAGTCGAACAAGTCTTCAGATGGGGTTGGCCTCTCCATGACCAGAACTACCTCCTCACCTTGATCCTGGAGGTACCAGTCCAGGAGACTCACAGAGGGGCTTTTTCCAACCGCATGACGATCTGGAGCTGCTTTAGTCATCAGGACCACCTCAGCGGGGACAGTGTACACCTCCTTTTTAATGGTCTAAAAGTGGAAAATATAAACAACACAAATTATTACACAATCAGAGGTAAATGCAGAGTAAAATGATTTTGCAAAACTATACAAATGTCAACAACAACAACAAAAAAGTCACTTACCACTGGAGCAAAATCCACATCCTCTCTTTTGATGTGTTTAATGGCCACCTGAAAATCAGAAATTAGGGCATCATTATGTCATGGAGTAGAGTGAAAATGTGAAATTATAGGGTTTTTCTCTCATTTTCTTTGACAACATCAAATATTCTGTATTTAATGATCTCCAGAAAACAATCCATGGAGACAGACCCTCTACATGAAAAATTACTTACTGCATCTTAAGTAATTTCATCTTATATTAACTGTGCATTTGAAGTTTCACAAAAGATGAAAATTGTATATCTTACCGGTTGAGCGTCTGATATCCGGACACCGGCAAACACAGAGCCAAATCCGCCCTCTCCGAGCTCCTCGGTCTGCTCATACTTCAGCTCAAAGTCACTCACTGAGTTTCATATTGCAAAAGAGAAAAAAATTATTAGTATGATCATCCTTTAGTGACAGCACTCTTCACATATAGGCAAGGGATTGGTCTTGCCCAAGAACACGTTAGGAGTATTTGATTTAGGCCTATGTGTACTTCTTTTGGTCCTGGGTTAGTCCTGGTCTATTCCTGGTTTAGTGTTTACATCTAAATACACTCTAGATTCTCTGTATAGTTAACCTGTAGCGTACCTTTAGCTGTAGCCACTCTCTTCATTGCTTTCCTCAGCTTTCTTCTCTCTTTTTGACTCTTCTTCAGGGATCTCTCATGCTGTGAGTCTGTTTTTGTAGATCCACGACGAAATTTTTTGGGCTCAATTTCGGACCCTGCGTCGGTGGATTTCCTTTTGGTTGTTGTACTTGGTTCACAATCCGGGTTGTGAGCTCTCCGAGGACTGCAGTCTGAAAATACATCAAGTCAATTATTACTTATGACACAATGAAAAACTGCAACAAGTGTTTTTTACTTGATAAAGGTACAACTACTGTCTGTTGGTATATTTTCAGTAGTACCTTTAGTGTGGTCCTCTATCCTGGGCGCTGTTGAGCGTGTCACTTCCTGAAGCATCGACTGATGTTTCTGAACAGAACTTTTTGGGCTCAAATTCAGCCTGAATTACTGCAGAGGTGGCTTTCCTTTTGCAGTTTCGGAAATCACTTGGTTTAGTCTCAGCGATGGCGGAGACCAAACACCTGGACCCTAAAAATGAATGAATTAAGTCAAATATATCTTATGTTATACAATTATTGTAAGAAGTTAAAAAAAAAAAAGTAAAAAAGTATCAATATAATTTAATGGACAGTCCTGGTTTAGCAATTTTAGTCCTGGTTTAGTCATGTTTTAGTCCTAGTTATTTGAATCTAGTACCTTCTGCTGGGTGCCTCTGCACTGTCTCTCCTTCCAACCAATCCGTCAAGTTTTGAAAACAGGACTTCTTGGGCTCAAATCCAGAGTAATTGACTGGATTGCTGGACTTCTTTTTCCTGCTTTGGGGAAGGCTCGGTCCAGTCTCAGAGATGTTCGAGACGTGTCTGGATCCTGTAAACACATTATGCTATTGCTATTACTTAGTTACTACATGCTTATATGCAAGTATCTAAATTACACTTATGAAAGCAAAGTCAAATCCAGAGATGGGTGGTTTCATTTACATTAGCTGGAGTAACTTCCTAACAAAATTCTCTTTCTCAGAGTAGTTTTCTGACTTTTTACTGTTACTTGTATACTTTTTGGATCAGTACTTTCTACTTGTATTTTAGTAGCAACATTTAAAGAAATAACACTAGTGTAATCTTAAAGATAGTACAACTTTAGCTACTTGACCTTTGATCCCTACAAGTTGGGATTGTTAGATATTCTTAAAAATTTCTAGTACAAACCTTGTAAGATCACTCGGCTGCCGTCTAAAACGTAGAGTCTCCGTGCTGCCATTGTTGTGAAGTCACAAAAAGGCAAAAAACAGGAGAAAAGTGGTTGAAATGCGTTTGTCTTCCGTGCTGTCTGACAAAATGTGAACTGCTGGAACAGAACTTTTAAATATAAACAGTGTCAGTGTGTCCATTTAAACTTTGGCGCTAACGTGGCAACGGCCAATAGGAGCCTACGGAATATTGATAGAGTTATGGATTTGTTTATTTTTATTTTTTTATGTTTTTATTTAAAAAAAATAATGCAATTTTCTCTGGTCTTTCCTTTCAGCGCAATACAGGCAGTGTTATAGTTAATTTCTAGGGCACAATTTGTTCATTCAAAGTGTTTTAACATTCTTGTTCTGCTCCCAGTGGAGAAATATGCTTCTGTTAATGAGTTGATCTGTTTTGTCCACTCAGAGCTTCCTTAGCTGCCATATTATTAAACCCTGTAAACTGTAATTTGGCCCCATAAAAATATCTGTCTATAAGTATTGCAGTGTCATAAAATGTTAACTCACTCTGTGGATTCATGTGGGGCACTTTAAGTAGTTTTACATTTTAAATTCACTTTAAAATATAAGACGCTAATAGCGTTAGCATGTCTATGGGAATTTCCATTTATGTTAGCATTATGCTAATCGCTTGTTTTCTAGCCGTTTTTATGAAGTCCAGCTAATGTTAAGCCATTGTTATGCATATACTGAATTGTATTAAGCTGCTCTACACTGCTTGTTTTATGTAGCTTTACATTTTCTATGTTCATTTAAATGTGAAAACATTTTTGTAATATGCATTTATTTTTGTATGTTACAGTTTTACAAGGCTTCCTGAGTGTTTACTGGAGAAATTGTTCGCTACCTGCAAAGCTAGTTCCTAAACATTGCTGGAGCCAAAATTATTACTATTATTATTATTATTATGACAAATATACAAAAACACCTTTATTTTGTTAAAATTGTGCCGAACTTTTGGATAGAATATGGCTGTGTCCCAATTCAAAGGGCTGCAGCCTCCGAAGGCTGCGAAGACTGGGTCCTTCGTCGGCCGCGAAGGCTGCAGCCCTTGAACTGGCCTCCGCGGACCGCCAGGCCATTGCCGAAATGGGACAGGTCCAGCCCACGGAGCGTACGTCAACAGGTGTCGGTGATGTCATGCTAACACACCATCATCTAGCAACCGCTACAGCTGCATACATTTCAGTCATTTGTGCTCTGAAATCACAAACGCTGTGCAAAAATGGAACCCCAACTTCTTGCACTTTTATTTATAATCTTATATTTTTTGTTTGAAGAGGAGGCAAATTATCGCCGTGCCAGGCGCCCAATCCTGTTCAGATTAAATGAAGTAAGTAATTCATCTTTCCTTTTGAATATTAACCTAATAGGCAAATATAACCGTATTTCTTAACAATTGTTGCTAGTAGGCAATTACATAACTTTTAAGAAAACATACCTTCAGAAAACGTTGTCATAGACAAGTAACCAAAATCATTTTTAGACTTATAAACCGGAGTTGTCAGCTGTATGTACAACTACAGTGGGATATTAAATACTTACGTTTTTTGGGGCCAGGTTTAATTCTACCTGTGGCTAAACTTTGTTACCACTAGAGGGCAGTTTACTTTCTATGCCATGCCACTCCTTCCATTAGTATACTAAAATGTATTTATGGAGGTAGTAGCATTAATAATAACAATAGATTACAATGAATTATTATTATTATTGTTTGGGTATAACTGCACATTAATTTATCCAATTAATTTATCCCCTCCCCCAGACAAGGAGAAGATACTGCACAATAAACCTGAGCGTGCCAGTGCTGGAAAGGTTTTTCAACAATGAAGACACACGGCCTGACTTTCGTCTGAGCAGGGAGTCCTTGGCAGTGCTAATGAACCTCCTGAACCTCAACCGAAGACATGGATGGGGTGCTGAGATTGAAGTCCTGGTCTTTCTCTTCTGGCTGGCATGTGGGACATCATACCGGGTGGTCTCCAGGGTTTTTGGGATACCCCGCTCCACTGTCCACCGCATCGTCCACAGGGTCACTGCCAACACTGCAGAAGACCTCGAGGCAGTGACCCGTGGGTTTGCAGGGCTGGCAAGGCATAGGGCCTTTGCAAGAACTGCCGGGGCAATAGATGGCTGCCACGTCAGAATCAGGCCACCCAGCGGCCCTGATTGTCAGTGCTACAGAAATAGGAAGCTTTTTCCTAGCATCATCATGCAGGCTGTGTCTGACCATCAGGGCCGCTTCATAGACATCTATGTGGGCTGGCCTGGTTCTGTACACGACGCAAGGGTCCTTCGGCACAGTCCTCTCTACCAGAGGGGACTGTATCCTCCTCCAGGGCACTTCATCCTCGGAGATGGCGGGTACCCCTGTCTCCAGCATCCACTCCCCCTCATCACTCCCTACAAACGGCCAGTGCAAGGTGTGGGAGCCCAGCGTTTCAATTTGCATCATTCCAGGGCACGCTCTATTATTGAGCGTGCCTTTGGAATGATGAAAAGTAGATATAGGGCAATCTTTTTGCACATGCTGGAGGTCCACCACACCTTTGCACCACATGTAAGTGAAATGTAAATTATTGTGTTATCATGTAATATCATGTAATTTGTTATTATGAAGCAGTAAATCATCAAGATTATTATTCTTCCTTTCTTTTCCAGGTCATCACCGCCTGTGCCGTCCTCCACAACATCTGTCTTGGGGCAGGAGACATCGTGGCCCCGGAGGATGAGCCAGAGCCCAATGTAGTGGAGGATGAGGGGGAGAATGATGTTGAGGCCGTTGCTGGAGCACAGTGGCGTGACCAGCTGTCTGCGGAGGTGTCTGCCTTGGAGGAGGTTCCGAGGGACCATGATTATGTCTAGGTATGTATTCATACTTGCAACAGTTTCAAAAACTTATCGAAAGTGTTTATAGGTGATTACAGCTAAACATATGTAATGCAATATGCTGTAGTACTATCACTATTCTTTCTCATGTGTCTATAGTCACATGGCAGTCATCTATTGCCCCAGCCAGCCCTGCAAATCCAGCCCATGGACGATGCGGTGGACAGTGGAACAGCACCCGGTGTGAGAGCCCCACTTAGCAGCCAGAAGACAAAGACCAGGACCTCAATCTCAGCAGTCGGCCAGAGGTTCATTAGCACTGCCAGGGCCCCTGCTCAGTCGAAAATTAGGCCGTGTGTCCAACACTGGCAGACTCAGGTTTATTTATATGAACTTTACATTTCAGTTTTACCTTACATGTATTGTTTTTTCTTTCTAATTATGACCCCTTTGTATCATGTGTTTTTCTTCTTGATTTTATTATGTAATAATATTATTATATTATCATTATGTAAATAAATGTAAATAAAACACACCTTATTAACAATTATTAACTTTATTAACATTTCCTAACATTTATGAACAATAATCTATTATAATATTCACTTTTCTGCCATTCTTTCTAAAATGCTAAACAGCCTTTCAAACCTTTCCTTCCTCTCCTCTGCCTCTCTCTCACCTCTTTCCCTCTGCCTCCTTAGATCTTCTCTGTACAACTTCAATAGTTCATCTTCCCTCTTTCTTTTCCGTCCTGCTGATCTCCTTCGCTGCTGCTGCTGTTGCTGTTCCTGTTCCTCTTCCTCCTCCTCCTCCTCCTCTTCCTCCTGCTCCTGCTCCTGCTCTTCCTCCTCCTCCTGCTCCTGTCTGGCAGAACTTGGCCCTGGTGTGTCCTCAGAGATTGAGGCAATGAGAACAGGGGGATTGGTAGAGGGCCTTTGTCCCAAAACCTCATCCATGAGGACAAACCAGGGCCAAGTCTCTGCTGTCGCCTTCCCTTTAACGCCTTCCCCTGTCCCTGGGCACTTGCAATCCTTTGACAGAAGAAATTAGCAAACAAGGCAGGTCAAAATATGATGAACACAACGGTTTATTTTTACAAATATAAATAGCATAATTCAAATAATGTACATACTTATATATTTTTTTTTTGAGGTTGTCCCATTTTTTTTGGCCTGCAGAGGTGTTACCCTGTCCTGCAGGCCTAACTTCTCCAGTATTGTCCTGAGTCATACAGAACAAAAGCATTCAAGTTAACACAACAATAAACACAGTATCTTTATAATTTTATGGAATATAATATGGAACATGTTACAGATCTCCTACTGTTACTGCAAACATTTGTTCAATAGCCATGCAGCACACTATCCTTTCATTTCATTTCATTATGTATTTTTTTTGTTGTGTTTCACATTTTTCATGGAGCTTTTTTAAAGAATATATTATGGATAATAACAGTTAAGTCCAGCTTATTTGTGATCATATTGACAAATAGGTAGGTTTAGTTCTCCATTGTGACTGTAATATACTTTTTTAAATCAGCAGCTTCCCAGCCATCATTTAGTAATCACAGAAGTACAGGCTGTGGATAACACAGGAAATAAACAGGGAAACCCAAGTTAATTCACAACTACACACATATGTACAACATTAAACAGGTTTCAAATTGCAGAAATGCCAGCTTTCACATAGTTGTTATGGTTGATGTTTTATTATTTATGTAACAGGAGTATATAGCACGGTTTTTATTCTTACTTCCAAGCCGTGTTGGCTGAAAACTTAGCCCCGGTGAAGAGGTGGTCATTTTCCCGCCTTAACTCGATGAACCGGGTGGTCTGCTCCCTAAAGACCAACACAATTTTCTTACAAATGGAATATAAATAATTGTGCACTGTAGAATATCCAACATTACGACAGTTACGCTAATATACAAGTGTAAGGGATAACGCTACTAATACAATAATAGCGGTAAACTTAGCCGTAACAACTGCTTTATACAGGTGTAAATTAAGGGCATTGCTCCACTGCAGGTGCATGACGCGCGTGCCTTAGAGCCGCTCTCATTACTTTCAGCGCATTGTAAAAGTTACGTGTGCAAAAACTGTAGTTTCCCGTAGGGCAAAATACGCGCGCAGTGGAGCCAGGCCCTAACAGTTTCTGAAAAGTTTCATGTAGCACAGTTGTATGTGAGGTAACCCAGTACTTACATTTAAAAGTAAAATTACAACCAGCTGAACTGGTGGATGCGCTCGCGGACTCCATTTTCTCCGAAGAACAGAAGAAGGAGTAGCGCGCAGTGCATGCTGGGATACTGAAGGCTGCGAATGATACTCGGATGTGTCCTCCGTTCGCGGCCCCATCTCCATGGAAACGAGGCCGGTTTTACGGCTGCATTTGAAGGCTGCATGACATAAAAATTAAAATCAGCCTTCGGAGGCTGCAGCCCTCGAATTGGGACACAGCCTTCGTGTGATGTTATATTTAAACTCTCTACTTCCTGTAATTTTCCACAAATGTTCTTTGCAAAATGCTTTGTGATGGGTGTAAAACTATAGTCTATATCTACAATACTTATAATCCCACCAAATTAAGTCAAAATTAAAGAATCATAAAAATCTGTCACATGCACTTAAGGACAATTTTGAAAGCAGTACTTTTAGCCATTCACCTGTATTTCTACTTGTTTACATATTTTCAGTACTCTTTCCTTCACTCAATAGATAGATACATATATTTATTGATCCAAAGGAAATTCAAAGTTTGGCAGCAGAGACAAGAGCTGGGGTTATCAAGGATGGACAGGAGCTTTTTTAGGGCCCTCTTCTCAGCCACAGATGTGAATGAGTCAAGCTCTGTACCCACTACAGATTCTGCCTTCCTCACCAGCCTTTCAAACTGCACAGCGTCTTTCTCCTTGTGACTTTCTCCCCGCAGACCAGAGCACTGAAGAGGACACTCGAGATGATTGTCTGGTATACCATCATGAGCAGGGCTGGCAGCAGTAGTAGTAGTAGTAGCAGGGGTGAAAGTAGAGTAATTGTTGGAAGCAGTACTTGTACTTCTAGCTAACCAGTCATATATCAGTAATGCCAGACATGGAAGGTAATACGTGCTACATCATGCATACATTATATTTTTACTAAGTACTATTTTGAAAGCGATACTTTTAACCATGCAACTGTACTTTTCCTTGAGTACGTATTTTCAGTGCTCTTTCCTCGACTGAGTAAAAGTAGTAGCAGTTTTTTTTTTTTTCTCATCAACTTCAGAAACAAACAGAAACAAACACTATACAAAATAATGGGACTTTTTTTTTTTATGTCTGTTATGTCTGTCTGAAATTTTGTATTGTTTGACATTCTCGTGGATAAACGTGATAAACCACAACCTCCATCTGCTCCGAATATCTACAACCTGTTTATTCGCATTGCACTGTTGCTATACCAGATGCTGCTGCACAAATTATCTGTGATTAGATTGGCATTTTAACAGCCTACTTTTCATATTTTTCAAACTTTCCTATAAGCATTATACTGACAATTATGTATATTTAAAAGTCAGATTTTCATTGCATAAGAAGTACGGTACTAAACTGTCAACTTATTTAACAGTATTCCACCTATAGGGCAGGAAAGTGTAGGTTTTTATTAGCTACTTTTCTAAAATAATTCCTGTCAAACCCAAATAAAGGTGCAGTATTTAACTTTTCTGGTGTTATTGCCTTGCCGAGGATGTTCCACAGTAAAACATTTAACTTCTATCTATCTTTAACATCTGTCTTGCATTTATTTAATTCCATTGCTTCAACAAAAAGTACCTTAAACACATCCATTCTTACTGTAAAGGGGATTGGTGGCACTATTTCTTTGTCTCCATGAAGATTTAATGCCACATTGTGGAGCAGTCCGGGTACAGAAAATATAGATGCAGCACTTCAAGATCCAGTAGCAGTGGGAACTGTTCTGTTTCTGGCAGATGTTATTTTGGAAAAGTTGAATAAGTTGACAATTTTCTACCTTAATTTTTTGTTCAAGGAAAATTGAATGTATTAAATGTAAATGTATTTAAAGAATTGTCAGAGCACTTAACAAGATAAATACAAATGAACAAACTGCAGTCTACTTTAACCTTTTTTTTTTTACCTGACAGCACTGCTGGTAAGGGACGGAGATATGCACGTCTCATTAGGGATTTGGTGACAATGTTTGGACTACAAAGGGAAAAAAAAAAGCATAAATCTTCAAAGCAGTCCCCATCCCCTCAAATTATTCATGAATTTATTATTTTAATGGTCTACATTTCATGTAGACAAATCATGTGAGGCTGTTGCCACCACCTCAAAACATACCTGGAGTTGTGGTTTGTTTCATTCACACATGTTTAAGTAACCCTTATTTAATCTTATTATTAGTCTGTCTACATCTCCAAAGCTCAAAATGGTCTGTTCCACCTTGTGATGTCATGAAGTGATAGCTTTCACCTTACCTTTAACCTTTTCTTTAGTAGAGATTGGTGATTCCAGGTCTGAAATCGTCCATATGATTCTAGTGTATGGAGTTTAAAAACAGTGCAGCATTTCCTGAATTACCACTTGACATCACAAGGTGGAACAAGTATTTTCAGTTTGAAAGGAAAATATTGAGAGTTTGTGTGTTAAACAACTCCAGGTATGTTTGTGACGAGGAAACAACAATATAACATAGATCAGAAAATAGCATAATAATCGCCCTTTAGGATTTGCTGCTTCTCATTCATGCAAATTCTGCTCTACTGCAAAATGAGTTTGGAGTCTTGTCCAAAAATTGCTCATCGATTTAGGATTTATAAGGCCAAGTGCTCACTTGTCATTGTGTCAGTTCTGCATACTCAGTATTAGCCATTCGGATAGTGAAGTGGTTTGCAAACAAATGACAGCTAGAAGTGTATTGATGCTGATTGTGTTGGGTCTTGAAAATTGCCTCAGTTATCTTCATCGGCCAAATTTCTCAAACACATCCGAGAGCCAAGAGATGTCATTTTAATTTGTTTGCCGGGATACAAGCTTGGGAGAAAATATCAATCAACTGAGCACATTGTTGTGAACAGGTTTATCTACAACAAACCAAGGATATGGGTGGCATCCTGGTTGGGACTCAGATGGGTTAATTCCTGGATTATGTGTGGCCTCCATGTTAGCATATTGCATGTTCTCCCTGTGATTGTGGGGGTCTTGACAAAGTACTCCAGTTTCCCCTATGTACTTCAAACAATCATAATAGGCTTAAACATACAAGCATACAAGCATACATACACTATTTCAATATTTGAGACTTTGTGCTTAGGGACATGCATGTATCTCCCTGAGTTCAGATAGGCGTG